TCTCTCTCTCTCTCTCTCTCTCTCTCACACACACACACACACACACACACACACACACACACACTCACACACACACACAAACACACACACGCGCGCGCGCGCGCTCAACAACGACAGCAAAAAAACAATACTGGTTGTTTTAAAAAAAAAAAAAAACAACCCTAAAACATGTCTATGTCATGACAGTCGGAAGGTGTCAATACTACTCACAGTAATCTTTTTCGATGAGCGGGTAGGAACCGACACCAGGTTCAGTGAATACGAGGGCACCGATTCTGTCAACACCTCCAACGGCGATCTTGAAGCGGTTCAAGGTTACATGAGACTCGATGCCAAACGTAAGAGAGTTCAGGAACCGGGCGTTAGCTGGGTGGTCAAAATGAAAATCATGAGTCAGTCGATCTTTTAAAAGACATTGGCATCAGTTGTACAACTCATTTTGTGTACATACTTTAGATAGATAGATAGATAGATAGATAGATAGATAGATAGATAGATAGATAGATAGACAGATAGAATAGATACAGAGATAGAATAGATGATGATTACTATGCTAATGAAGCAGTGAAAACTGTTTCCGCATCCGATCCGGACATTGGAGATTGCCTTGTTAGTGAGACAACATCCCGGGCCTTCGGCACGCCGCCTTTACCTCCCCAACTCGAAGTCAGGTACCCATTACTGCTGGGTGGGCAGGAGGGTGCCTAAAAAAAATCAGTGTCCGAACCGAGGCTCGAACCCGGACTTTTTGCTACGGAGACAAGCGCACTAAGCGCCACGCCACAGCACCCTCAACAACAAGTACAAGAACAAGAACAAGAACAAGAACAAGAACAAAAACAAGATCACCTGGAAGACACTTCAAGTAAACCTCTGATGGTAGCGACTTGCGAACTGTGCAGGCGCCAGCAGGGGTAATAACGTATGTCTTCGACTGTAAAAGACCAAGGAGAGAAAATCCATGAGGAATTTTTGAATGTAGGTGCTTTACCCACCCATTGACACAATTTACATCATCTAGTACGAGAGCTTTGACTTTGCTGCCTTCCGGGGCCAATCGAAGCTGGGAAGGGTACAATCTTCCAGCAGAAAGACCATGATACTTGATACAGTTTCCTCCACACAAAAACTAAACTGGGGTCTCTTCATATGATAGATAGATAGATAGATAGATAGATAGATAGATAGATAGATAGATAGATAGATAGATAGATAGATAGATAGATAGATAGATAGATTGATAGATAGATAAATAGTTAGATACCTACCGCTGCAATGTCGACAACTCTTCTGCCTCCAGCTGAAGGAAGAACGGCTACTTTTTGGGCAGTGAAGTCTGACACCAACGTGTCCTTGTCCTATGGAGACAAACGTTTGTCAGAAATCATACATCAGTACACTTAAAGGGAATAAGGGCTACAAGAATCAAAAATGACGTATATGTATATGTATATGTATATATATATATATATATATATATATATATATATATATATATATATATGAAAATATGGGTATACATATAATGTATACGGTATAGGTTTAACGCCCCTATCAACACTATTAGGTTATTTAAGAGGCGGGGCCTCCGGGTTTAACGTCCATCTCCGAAAGCACGCAGCCATAAATGGGAAATTCGTGTAAAGTGCCTTTCCCGAGGACACGACGTCGGACCGACCTGAGGCTCGAAACCCCGAACCCGCAATCTCATGATTACGAGTCAGGTAGCCTAACCACTAGGCTACAGATGCCACCTATAATATGTATGTATATGTGTATATGTGTGGAAGAAGAAAAAGAAGAAGAAGAAGAAGAAGAAGAAGAAGAAGACGAAGAAGAAGAAGAAGAAGAAGAAGAAGAAGAAGAAGAAGAAGAAGAAGAAGAGGAAGAAGAAGAAGAAGAAGAAGAAGAAGAAGAAGAAGAAGAAGAATCATTGTAAATTTAGGCCAAGAGCCATCGTATTTCCTTCATGTAGAGAATTCTGAAACGTGTTTCCGTGTTCTGTTGTTGAAATTAATATTTTGTTTGTTGGGTCAAAAATACATGTTTGCAGGAGATTTAGGGCACGTGCAACGAATCAAGATTATGTATATCAATATTAGAAGTGTTACTAGTCAGTATCTCACGGATAATAAAGGAGGAGAGACAAGGATGATACATGTATGATGGGGAAATATAAAGCAATATAAAAAAAACAGAGCACCAGCCGTCAAATCACTACAAAAGACTTATAAATCTGATCTGATTTGTTTTTGTTGGGGGTTTTTTTCGTTTCTTTGGTCAGCTTTACTTCTCTTTTCATATTGAATTTTACATAGAGTAACATAAATTAAATTTTTATGTATGCCAGCATGTGTTATACGGTCCTGTACAGCCAAGAAAAATTTCCCTCTGGGATAATAAAGTATTATCTTATCTTATCTTAACTTGTATCTTTTTTTATCTTATCTTATCTAACCTTAATGTATCTTTTCTTATCTTATCTTATCGTATCGTATCATATCTTATCTTATCGTATCTAATCGTATCTTATCATATATTATCGAATCTTATCGTATCTTATTTTATCTTATCTCATCTTATCTGAAATACTTACACCAGTTAAAAGATAGTTTTGTGTCACGGTGATTTGGCTGGAGTGACAGATGGTGGTGGGGTCAGGACCAGCCCCCAGTGACACGTGGGCAATCACCGCCAAAAGTGCAATAACTTTCATATCGATATCTGCAGAAAGAAATGTGTTAAGACGCGGTGGAATTAAGCCCTTGACAATTTTTTAGCATGTGGAGACATTGGTGTCATATGATTGTTTATTTATTTGCCTTGCTTTAACTGAAAAAAAATACCAACCAATCTTAAATAGCAGTCAAGATATGCGATTGAAGGAGGAAGGGTCACTGGGCTTCAGTGATTAAGTTAGCGAGAAAATGACCGTCAAAGTTTGGTAACTTCAATTGCGTCAGAGCCTTGAAAAACACTTTTTTTTTAAAATCACTTACTTTTGCTCCTATAATCAACGTTTTCAGTAAAATCACATGGAAATTTGTTTTATAAGGATATAAATTGCCAAACTGGCGGAACAATGCGTGTTAATTCGATTTCGATATTTTGAGGAGAGCCTTATTTCACCACGATGCCTCACAAATAATAAACAAGCTGACGTATTTTTTTTCTCCATTAGCGCATCTACAGAAGAAAAACGATGACCATGAAGTCCGAGCGCTGTTGGTGTTAAATCAGTGGTGTGTACCAGGAGTTGATAGATAAAGAATAATTCTCTTACATTAAACTTCCTCTAAGAACGTTGCGATTAAGATTAGTCTATTAAATATATAGTTTTCTATTCTTGAACACAGTTCCTCGTGACCTGGAGGATAACTATCGTTGTCCTTGACACGACTTTAAAGAGCTTCTTTTTGTTGACAGTTTTGAGAAAGGAAGAGAGAAATGCAAACTTTACTTTTTCTTTTCATCGGAGACAACGTTTTTTCATGATGGATGACTATGGGCGCAATAGATAAAATAAATCAATTCTCGTTTGTTTTTTGAAGTACAAACGTAAATAATACTTTAAACCCTTCGCGTCAAAAAAAACATTTACATTTGATATCGGACTTTTTATTATACACTCGACAAATAAGATATTAGTATCCTATAACACATTAATTTATCATTTCAAAGTAATTTTCAGTTGAGTTGTGCATTTTTTTAAATCTGTTTATTCTTGAGAGAAAAAAGGAGCATTGTAAGAACAGCATGGGATGTTCGACATTAAATCTTACCTCTGCTGGAATCTCAACCAAGGTTTCCTTGCAAAAGGATAATGCAGATGCAGTTTGGCTTCATTAAACGATGTTTTTATAGAGAAGGGTGTCAGTCGATTCTTTACTTTTTTATGTAGGGGAGAGGGTGGGGGTAGGAGGTGGCATGGCTCAAAAAGAAATTGTTAAGATCTGAAAAGCACCTACAAAGGTAAGTGAAACTTTAGTTCGTCTCTATGCCTAGTTTTGTGGATTAGATTTCTTATGATGTTTGTTATTTTTCCCAAAAATCTGGTACTAAGTTCAGTTTTACATGTGTAAATAGCCTAAAATTCGTTACCAGTTTTGTGTACGCACGGTGACCAGGCAA